CCCCAAAACCCCAAAACCCCAAAACCCCAAAACCCCGAGCTTACTCACAAAAATTGACTGCATAATGAATTTTAAGATTTTGAGATTGTAGCTTTAGAGGAATGAGGGATTATGACTGTGAGGAGTAATCTGAGCGAGGGGTCATCATACCTGGCAAGGTCATGCTTGAAAGCTTTGGAGCGACATGGGGTTTGCGGGAGGGAGGGGCTCTGGGGGTATGGGTAGTGAAAGAAGGGTGGAAACTGGATTTTTGGTGGATGTGGTTGTGGTAAGATGTGGTAGGGGTTGGGATGGGTTGGGGGTCGATATGCTTTATGGAGGATTAGAGAAGTTCGTGAAAATAGTGAGAAAATCGATTTTTAGGGATTTTAGCAGCAATTTTATAGAGGGTGTTTAAAGATTTTAAAATTGATAATATTGCTATCAAAAAGCCTTCTCATATATAACCTTATAAAGGATATTAAAAAATTATTTGCTTTAACAATCAGCTAAATCTCAAAGTATGGCAGAGAATCATCTGAAATATTAAAATTTAATTAGGATTCATTTCCTAGCAATTAAAATGCTCAAGTCTTCTATCAAAAAGTTGTAATGAACATTGAAAATCTAAATATTCTGAAATAAATAAAAATCTACTAAATAACCCTTTTCTAGAACTAAGAATGCTGGTCAATGTTTGCTTCTTCTTGGAGACTCTTCCATTGAAATAGAAAGTACCTTAAGTTTATTAAAGAGAGGATATACTTGGATTCTCCTCCAACTTCTCTCAGTGTCCTCTTCACTGAACTCAATATCTTTGCTGATGTTTTGACTATTCTCTTCAGTCCTATTCTTAGAGCTTTCATGATCATTTCTATACAATGGGTTAAGTTCTTGTCCCTAAAATCTGAGAGTTCAAATATATTAATAAAACCAAGAAAATCTTATTCCCAATTCATCAAGTTTTTATTAGGAGCATGAAAAAGGGTGATTTCAGAATTAAGAAGGAGAGAAGAAAGTCGATTCATTGGTCTTCATTACCACTACTCTGTTGTTAAAGCTTGCTTAGTTAATCTTAGAATTGAAGAATCTTAGCAAAGGCTTCTGATTTCAACTTTCAAAAATTTTAAAAATTTCAGAAAATAATAAACCAAGATATGAAAATGGTCAAAAAGATTTTCTCTTGCCTTATTAACTTTATCTCTGGGCTTCTCTTGGTTATGTCAAGCTTCTGATTAGCCTTAACAATGATAGTTTTAGCTGGAGATATAGCTGTTTTTCCTCTCATCTTCGATTTGCAAGTCAACACAATCTGATAAATTAGGTTTATGATACTAATTAGGAAAACAAGTATTGTGTTTGCAAGAATTGAGTTATTTAATAGGACTTCCACAACTCCTGAGTCTCATTTCTGCAAGGCTATAGTCAGTAATATTGTTGTAGAATAGGATACTTCATTGATTATCTCTAGAATATTTTGACACTTCTCTTCATGATATCTAACAATTACACCTAGTATCAGCCATAAAACTTGCAAAATTAAATAAACGAAAAGTCTGGTCATGAGATCACTAGACCTGAGAGCCACAATAACTATCACAATAATGAATCTTCTCAGCAAGAAAGTGAAGCTATAGAGCTGAGCAAGTTTTTGCTTTTTAAATCCATCGAACAGTTCTCTCACATATGGGCTCTCATGAGGATTTTTGACTTTAAAGAGAAGAATCGGCACCAGACACATGAATAAGAACAGTAAGAAAACTATCACAACACTTATACTGAATGATATCGAGTGCTGTGTAGCTTCCAAGATTCTAGACACCTCGCTGACTGAAATAATGCATATAAATAAGAAGCTTTCCATGAAGTATCTCAAATAAAATTTAAATCAGAAGAAATTTCAAAAATAGATATAAATTTTAGATCTGCATCCTTTGTTTTCAGATTTACAGAACATTCTTAAAAAGGGGTACAAAATTAGAGCTAATAGAGTTGCTCCAACAAGATAAATCAGAATCTCGAATCAGCTGACTAGAGTGCTCCCTGATTCATATTCGTTCTCTCTGAACTCTTTATATGGGTGACTATAGTCAATCTTTTGTATTAGTTGTTTAAAAATAGGAAGAGTTCTCGTGTCTAGAAGATTTATGTTCAGGATGCTTGTTTCAAGAGCTTTAAGCGTTTGTACAAATTCGAATGGCAACAATGCTCTCAAGAAAGGAATCATCATGAACAATTGAAACTGGTTGAATAAAGTCCATATGTTTTGAGATGATGATCCAGATAGAGCTCCAGCAACAATTGAAGTTACCACTGTTCCTGTAAACCCAGTGATTATCAACGAAGAGTTAAAACTTAAGACCCCTTCTATCTTTACACATGCTTTATTGTTAGTCAAAGTATATCCATCAATACAAGCAGTGCATTCAGAAGAACTACATTCTCTACAGTAATTAATATCACATTCTGAAGAATTTAATGGAAGATTTGTAGAGGATGGACTAGGAGTTACAGGGGTTGGAGGAGTAACTGGAACAGATGCTACGTTTATCTGAACATTTCTGAGGTATACCTTTCCATCAACAGTACTCTTGCCAGTAAAATAAAATGTCTGACCACCTGCAGATGATGGAACTGTGTAATCAAAAGACAAAGAGTCAGTTCCAACTGTTACCCATGCAGGTTTAGGTTCTCCATTTGAATGGGGATCAATAACAGAAGTAATTGTAGTTGTTCCACTGATTGATCATGGAAAGAAAGCTGCAATGTTTCCTGTAGTATTTACTGTCGTATCAAGGATATACTCTTCCCCTTGAAAGATAACTTCATTCTCTCCTCTTAAGTCATTAGTGTCTGCAGGAGGTAATAGCACTAAAGAGGAAACACTTGAGAAACCTTTGGAGATAGATGAGGGAGTAGTGGTAATAAAAGCTGTGGCATCGTCAGAGTACGAATAACCAGTAGATGAAATAAATGTGCCACTTGTTGATACAAAAGATACCTCAGTGTTTTGCCCATAAATTCCATTTGAAGCCAATCTCGACATTGCAATAACTGAAGACGAGGAGGGTACTCCAGATCCTATCAGAGTGTGACCTCCAGCCTCAAGTATCCATCCTGGCATAATTGTAGTACTCACATAAGAGTTAGAGAAAGAGTTAGTAGAGGGATCATACTCAATTTTGTATGCTCCATTGTTGTATTTCATCAACACAAAAACTTTGCTGAACGAAGTAGAGTATGCTATACTGCTGATTTCTAAGTTGGTTTGTGTGAAGTCAGGCACATATGACCCCACAAGAGCCCCATCATCGAGGTTGCTCACATATATAATTGGTTCGGTGTCCAAGAAATAACTGATAACTTTGTTGTCTGACTCCAGAACCAGAGCATCATTGGTTCCGGCCAGCACACAAGCTGTTGGACAACCAATCTTTTTGGCCCACTGCTGAGTGGCAGTGTCATATTGAACTAAAAGCAAACTGTAGGCTTGAGCAGGGCTTGTGACTGAGCCAGTGATCGTCAAGAGTTCTTGGCCTGAACTCACATAAGAATGAATAGAATATACAGAGTTCAGACTCACTGGAATTGATGTGACGGATGTAGTTGAAAAATCTCCGTATCCAATTTTAAACACACGAGGTGTGGATGAAAGCTTGCCTGAAACATAGATATTTGAGTGATCACTTGACAGAGTCAAGTAATCACAATCTGTGGCAGATCCTATTCTGATTTCTTCAATAATTGAATTGGTTGTAGTATCTAATTTTACAAGTGGTCAATTAGATGAAGACTTCATTGCAATTACTAGGCTGGATCCAGATGAATGAAGAGCTATTGAATTCTTTGCAATATGGTTATCATCAAAGTTCAGCATCCAAATCAAATTAAAGCTAGAATCAAATTTAAAAATCCTGGCTTTATCTGTGAGCACAAAATCACCATTTACTGTAAAATAACTACATGAGTTGTCTGGACAAGAGATCCCATTAGTTTGCATAACATCGATATTATCAAAATTAAGATAATTGAACGAAACACTTTTGATCTTCATAGAAGTATCTGTACCGGCTGGGCATTGAGCTGCCAAGAGTACCTTCAAGATGAGTATAAATCTATATCACCAGTTATCTCTAAACTCTAAAACTATGCTAAAACCACTTAATTACTGAGAAAAATCTCCACCTAACGTGTATAAACCTTAAGAATATACGAAGCTTTGAGAGTTTTATTCGTTCTTTGATTGTTGATACAATTATAGACTAATCAAGAGCTTTTAGTGCTATATTTACTCAATAAAGAGGCTAATGAAAGTTCAAAACTTGAAATTAACGAAAGCTTTTTGAAAACTTATGAACCATTTGTATGGAAGAATCAGAAAATATACCAAAATTTGCTTCTTATCGCTAATCTCCTTCTAGAAAGAGTTGCAAGAACTATTTTAGATTAAGCTACAATGGCTGACAAATCTCTATATCTAATAATAAGTCATATTAAAATCTTAAATTTTTGCCAAATCAATTTTTAAAGCAACAGAATGAAGAATCTGGATAATGTTATTTTTCAAAAAGAATTTAGATTTGATAAAGCTAGAAGCAACGAAAGTTGTATTCAATAGGCTTTATAAGCCTTACTATACAAACTTATGAGAGATTTGACGGAATAAGAAAATACTATCATTCCAGATGTTGCCCAAATCATTCTAAAATTAGAAGAATATTTAGAGATTGCTTCAACTTATTAATTATTGACCACTCTAGGAAAAATGTGGGCTTTATATTACAGCCAAAGTTTATATGTGCCGGTATATACCTCAAAGAAGTAATAAAAATTAATGTATTCTATATTTTAGAGAATTTTATTGAAATTTTTCATATTTCTAACTTTTTATGAAAAATTTACAACATGGCTTCACTAGCTGATATGGGGAAGATTTTAAATTGTATATCTAAAGTAAAGTTTGTCCTTTAAGCCTATAGACAATAATTTTTCAAGTCTGAGTCATGAATGATAGAGGGCTTTAGAGTCTTTGAAAATTTATAAGGCGAGTTTAGTAATAGCATCAGGTTCACCATCTTCATAGAAACAATGTGGAGTATTGAACATCACAGATCAAAGGTTTATAATATTAACTCTAAATGATATTTGTCCAACAAAACTAAGCATTGATGCTACCTCTTCTAACTGATTTAGCTAGATCGAGCTACTAAACTCAATTTTCTTAATTTTCTACTTGAACCATCGAGTATGAGGCTACTTTATCAGCCAACCCAAAGGAGATATTTGAAATAATCCGGAATGCTGTCAATCCACAGCTATTTCCAAGGATACTTACCATATTATCACCATGATTATATTTATTATATATTTGACCTTTTCTTTCTATATATAGTTTGTCACTAGGGGTTTTGGGGTTTTGGGGTTTTGGGG